GCGCTCGGCGGCTCCGGGAGAACTCGAGCAGGTGCTCGATGCGGGACACGTCCTCCGTCACCCGATTGACGCGGTCGAACTGAGCCAGCAGCATCTCAAAGAGCGACAGCAGGCGCTGGATGTCGGCGTCCACCTCCAGGCTGTCGCGGGCGCTCAGCACCAGGCTCAGCCCGTCCAGCTGGCTGGAGGACGTGGAGGCCCGGGAGCTGTCGGAGGCAGCGCTGGGAGTGGGGCCCCGGAAGGATTTGGAGTCGCTGGAGTCTCGGGAGGGCAGCGGCTCCATCCCCTCGAACCTCACCTTGTGTCGGAACTGGCGGGGAAGAGGAGGAAGGGGCAGCGTTAGGGCAGGAGCTGGGGAGTGGGAACGCTCCGCACAGCTCCAGGGATGCTCCTGGTGTGGCCTGGGGCTGGATCCCAGCTAAAGCCGGTGGGACAGCGGGGCTGAGGATGGGCAGCTGATGCCCGTACAGTTCCCCATCTCTCTCGGGCCCGGGGGTGGCCACTGCTCCGACCCTCGCTCGCCAGGGGAAGCCGGCCCTGGCAGGAAGGAGCCAGAGGCAGGGAAAGGCCAAGGATGGCAGATGCTGCTCTGTGCCACAGGGCCCCTTCTCCAGAGCCCCCAGGCCGCCCTCACCTCCTTGGCTTTGCTGAAGCCCATCCACATCTTGAGCCTGCGGACGAACAGCTCCACCATCTCGTAGTCCTGCGGCTCGAAGGCAGGCCGGTAGAGCTCGAAGTGCATCTCACGGTAGCTGTGGATCAGCACCGCCGCCAGCAGCCGCAGCACGACCCACACCTCCAGCACGATGTATGAGGTGCAGAAGAGGCAGCAGAGCCCCGAGGCCTCGGGCAGGCAGGGCCGGAGGCTGGCGCTGCCCCGCAGAAGGGCCAGCAGCAGCAGGAGGCTGCTGCCCACGCTGCGGAAGGACTCGGAGGAGGAGGAGAAGAGCTGCGGAGGGACGGAGATGTGATGAGAAGGGAGCAGCAGCAAAGCGTTGCCCTGACCCTCAATATCCCCTCCCACACGGGCCCTGAGGGTGGCCACAGATGGGCTGGGACAGGGACAGCCCCTGGCCAGAGGTGGCAGGATGGGCACAGAGTGGGCAGGGGCCCCAGGGGCTTTGCTCATGCCATGAGAAGGGGAAGGAAAAGGGGCAGCAGGACCACCAGCAGCCCCTCTGGAGGGAGGGGAACGTACCAGGAAGCCGAGCTGGGCGTAGGCCAGGAGGAGGAGGGCGAAGGCCACCCCTGCAGCCATCAGCTCCTTCATGGACTTCTGGAAGGTCTTCCCGAACACTGACCACTGCCGGACAAAGCGCAGCTGCTGGGCAGCCTGGGGCGGGAGAGGAGGGACTTACAGACACATTCCCAACCCAGGAAGGGTCTCTCAAACACGTGAGAAACCCAAACCCCAGCAGAGCACAAACACCCCAGTCTGCAGGTTCCTTGCAGACCCAACCATCCCATCAGCCATGCTCGGCTGAATTCCCCGAGGGAATCGAGGGCCCAGAGGCCTCAGAGACCTGAGGTGCCCAGCAGAGACACATCTGGTGGCCTCCTCCTCTGCCCTGGCAGGGCTGTGCAGGGGCTGACAAGCACAGGAGGGCCAGGGCACACCCCACCCACCCACATTGTTCTCCCCCAGCCCACCTGTACCTGCACGGTCAGGAGGAAGAGGAGGGACGCGGCCAGGCTGCTGAAGACGGAGCTCAGGAAGGCCACCTGGTAGAAGTTGGTGAAGCCCCTGCGGTTGCTGAGGTACCTGAGCCACTGCTGGTCAGCCAGGGTGGCCTGGCTGAGGTGCACCAGCACCGTGCACGTGGTGAGCAGGATGAAAACCCACTGGCTGTAGTTGCCCCACAGGGTGAAGTAGGCTCTGCCTTCCTTCTTGATGGCCAGAGACTCCGACACCACGAAGTAAACCACAAACAGCATGAGGAAAACCTGGGGGAGGAACAGAGGTGACCAGGAGAGGTTATGGAGAGATCACCAGGAGAGGAGGAACGGAGGAGATGAGAGGACAAGCCCTGACTGCTGTGCTTCACTGGGGACCTGCAGCACCCCAGGACAGCAAAACCCCCCAAACCAGGCCAAGTCCCACCACTGCTCACCTGGAGCCCCCCTAGCATCCTGTCCTGCACCCCAATCCCTCCTGAAGCTCCCCAGTGCCCACAGCAGTGCCCCTGTGGCAGGGTGGCAGCACCCAGGGGATGAGGGCTCTGCTGACACCACCCCCAGGGTGACAGACACAGGGACAAGCGGCCCCAGGCAGAGCAGCTGGAGCCCACGGTGAGCAGCCTGGGTGAGGGTCCCCAGAGCCCCCCATGCAGAGGCCCCACACTGACCATCATGAGGAGCTGCAGGGTGACCCCCGTGCTGAGCCGCAGCAGGGGGAAGGGGCTGATGGTGACAGCGGCCACGGCCTGGCCGGCCCCAGGGAACTCCAGGCGCAGGGTGACGGCCACGTGCAGGTCCACGCTGGGGTTGTACTGCAGCAGCTCCACAAACACTGCCCGGCTCCTGCAGGGGCACAGCAGCAGCTCAGGGTGGGTGGGCCGAGGATGCTGTGCTCTGTGTCACCCCTGAGGAGCCCAGGTGACAGCAGGACACTGCCTCTGCCCTGCCACACTCACATGTTGTCGATCCACGTGTGCTGCTGCAGGAATTCCAGCTGAGCCCGGCTCTCCTCCAGGGAAGGGCCCAGCTCCTGCACGTAGCCACTGCTGTCGTAGAAGGAGATGTAGCCCCAGTACCAGATCCTGCAGAGGAAGAGGAGCTGTGGGGGAGGCTGAAGGACACTGGCTGCTCTCCTGTGTGCCAGGCCAGGCTCAAGGGGCAGATGCAGCTCCTGCCCCTCAGGATTCACTCCACAAGACAGATTACAGCGTGCACTGATCCACCCCAGTGTTCCCAACCTCACAACAACCCCAAGCCCTGTGGTGGCCCAGACTTGCATGGAGATGCCTCTGGGGACAAACCAGAGAAGTGTGATTTATGTCACATGCTTAGGGTGCTGCTGTCACCCCCCCTTTAGCAGAAATCTGGGGTGCTGGGCTCCCCTGCCCTGGAAGGTGCAGAGTTGAACCCTCTGCTGCTGTTCATTTGGAATTTCTGTGTCCATCTGCCCTTGGCCAGGCTCAGGGGCTGAGGTGAGGGCTGGGAAGAACCCAGAGCATCTGTAAAGACCTGTGAGAGGTCTGTAAGGGTCCCTGAGGAGGAGCAGAGTGGGAGCAGGGGTGGGAGCAGGCAGGGCAGCCCTTACCCCGCCAGGTCGGGTGCTGAGTGTGCCCACGCTGCCGTCCCGTTCCCGGCTGGGCTCTCCCAGCCCACTCCATAGTCAGCAGTGGCAAAGCTGTGCTGGTCAGTGCAGCTCCTCTGGGCGCTGCCCATGCTCTGCAGGATGTCCTGGGCACTCTGCTGGCACTCAGCTGGAATGAGAGCACCCTGTGAGCCCAGCACAGAGCTCACCTTCCCTCCCAACCCCTCCACACTCATCTCTTGTGCACCAGGGTGAGGGAATGGGCATGCACAGGTCAGGAATTGAGAAAAGGATGGATATTATTAATAAAAATAGAGAGCTGTCCAATTTAGGAGTTGGGATATGTCCATGCCACCAGGTCAGAGTGGATTAGCTGGGTGCAAGTGGAACAGAGACATCCCAGCTGGCCTTGGGTAACTGTGCACCAGCACTCTGGTCCCTGGATTGGAGTCAAGCTGCCAGAGGGCAGGGTTAGATGGGATATTGGGAAGGAATCTTCCCTGTGAGGGTGGGGAAGCCCTGGCACAGGGTGCCCAGAGCAGCTGTGGCTGTGCCTGGATTCCTGGAAGTGTCCAAGGCCAGGCTGGAGCACCCTTGGAGAGTGGAAGGTGTCCCTGGATGGACTTCAAGGTCCCTCCCAGCCCAAACCATTCCAGGATTCCACGATCCACTCCTCAGTTCATCTCTGCAGAGCAGAACCGCTGCCTCCCCGAGCTGTGCTGCCTCCCCTCAGCCCCAGCTGCACCCAGACCTGCCCATCTGTCCCCTCCAGGACTGTCACCTCCCCCTGTGACAGCACAGCCACCATCCTTGCCCTCCCTCCTACCTCCCCGCAGGCGCAGCTGGCGCAGCCGTGCCGTGCCCAGCGTGGTGCTGTGGCTCTCCTGGCCAGAGCCGTTGTTGTACAGGTAAGGGAGGAACACCTGAGACATCCACACCCAGAACTGATCCGACCTGCAGGGGCAAGGTGTGAGATTGCTGAGCCAAAGTTGCAGACTTGGGGGCACGAACAAGCCACAGCGATGTGCACAGAGCCAAGGGCTTTGCAGTGACACACCCTCAACCCAGGGAGCCCCAGGGGTGTGGAAAATCAGCTGGGAAAATTTAATCCAGCTAAACTCATGTGCAGAGCGAGGAAGAGCAGACTCTGGACAAGATGTTATTTCTGGCTCTCGTGACCCTGTTCGTGGCTACAACTTGTGGCTGTAAATTCTGGAGACAGAGAAACTCTTGTTCTTTAGAGCAGCTCCAGAAAGATCAACATCAACTCCCACAGCCCCTTCCCACTGGGGAAATCACTAAAGCTCAGAGAAATGAACCCTCTCAATCCCCAGAGGCCCCTCTGCTCTCCAGGGGAGCAGCAGAACCACGGAGACAAACAGGACCTGCCCAGTGCTGTGGAGTGCCCAGCTCCACATGGGCACCAAGGAACCTCTTATGGGACACACTGTGGAGCACAGGCCCCAGAGAGGACTCCCCTGGCCCCCAGGGGCTGGCAGGTACCTCTTGATGAGCAGGAAGTCGTTGCTGCCCAGCTGCTGCTTGATGGAGCTCTGCAGGAGGAAGGCCCGGCTGGTGCGGGAGGCGTCGCCGTAGTTGGTGAGCAGCACCACCAGCAAGAACATCATGTAGATGAGGAAATTCTGGGAAGCAGAGTAAAAACGGGATTTCATGGAAGGGCTGGACCCCAATCCTGCAGCAGGGCAGTGCTTTCCACGGCCATGCAATAGGATCAGAGCCAGAGACTGAGAAACTGAGGCAGAAGCACTCAGGGGATCCCAGCTGGACTGGGAGGACCCACGCTCAGATGAGCCTGAGCCCTGGGCTCAGCAGCAAGAGATGTCTCACCTTGAGCATCCTGTGCAGCAGTTTGACCTTCCTGGCCTCCTCCTTGGCCTGGAAGAGGGCAAATCCCTGCGGGGGCCGGACTTTGCCGATCCTCTCGGACACGTGTTCCACGCAGGGCTGCTCCACCAAGGTGTCGTCCTCCTCTGGGTGCAGCCTCTTGGCAACCAGGGAGAAATAGAGGGCTTCCAGCAGCACCTGGGCCACAGGGAGAGTGCTGAGCACCTCAGCATTCCAGCAGCAGCTCCCTTGGCACAGCTCCTACCATTCCAGCATGGCACAGCTCCTGCCTGGACCTTCAAAACCAAGTGCCACCAGCCCTGCCACCAGCCCAGCCTCTCCCAGTGCTGCTGGTGTCCACATCCTACCCTTCCTGAGGGATATGGGGTGGGAGAGACCATTGAGTGTCCACCCTGACCTGGTTTCTCTGGGGAAGGGGATTCACAGTGCCTGGAAGTGTCCCAAACCCACATGGATGTGGCACTTGGGGACTTGGGTTAGTGGTGAACACAGAGGTGGTGCTTGATGGACTTGGTAACTTTAAAGAGCTTTTCCAACCTTAACAATTCCGTGCCAAGTTAATTCCAGCTGTTAGTTCCACGTACAGGTCTGTGCTGCCACAGTCCTGCCACGCTCACCTTGAGGGGCTCCCAGACCAGGAATGATGCCAGAAAGCTGAATATCCCTGAGATGAGCCACATGAGGGCCACGCTGGAGGAGAAGCCCACCCCGATCCACACGGAGACGCCCGCGGAGGTGGCGAAGAGCAGGAGGCTGATGCCGTGAGCCAGGAGGGAGCACCAGGGAGGCAGCAGGCGCTTCCTGAACGTCTGGTCTGCAACTGGGAGGAGGAGGAGGAGGAGGGAGAGCAGTGTGAACATCACTGCAGAGTCCTCATGGGCGCAGGGAGGGCTGGGCTCTTGTGGCAGCAGAGATCCCAGCCCTGGGTGAGTTTGGAGGGATCATCCCACACATTTTTATGACTGGTGGCTGCAGAGGGAGCAGAGCCTCCCCAGGGGACACTGCAGGGACTGTCACAGCACTGAGCTGGCCCAGGGCTTACTGAGATCCAGGCTCCAAGAGAAGCTGGCAGGAAATAGCAGCGATATCCCAGGCAGGGAGCTGCCCTTCCTGAGGCTCCTTTTCTATTTCATTTCCAGTTTACCCCACTGTGTCTCCACAGGGCTGTGGTGTGGGATGGGCCCTGTCCCCCCACACCCCGGGGACACAGCCCTGGTACCTGTCCAGGTGGACTTGGCTGATCTGCTCACTTCCCTGGGAGGAGGTGCCACGCTCTGCCCTTTGTCGTTCAGCCTCTGCATCATGACAGTCTCCACCTTCTCCCCGAACACGCTGGACCTGCCAGGCACAGGGGGAGCCTGCTGGGAGCTGTGCCACTGCTGGCTCTGTGCTGAGCAGCCTGGCACCGAGGGGGATGAATTCCAGCACCAGTGCTGGGACGTCACACACGTCCCCAGGGCACAGACACTGCTCTGTGTCTCCTGGACAAGACCTGACAGTCCCACCCTTCCCTTGGCCTGCCACTCTGCAGTGGCTGCTGGGCTGCCAGCCCTGGGGGTCAGGGTGCCCAGGAGGGTGTCCTGGGCATGGGAACACAGCACAGATTTGGGTGGAATCCCCTTCTCCCTCCCGTCAGCACCATGAAGTGAATCCTCATCTCAGCACTTTGCCCTCGGTCCAAAAGTGCTGGAGACACAGCTGTGGCTTTAAGGGACATTCCAGGTGGCTCCTGGAAGGGTGGCAGTGCCCTCCTGGAGCTGTGGCTGCGGGGGCTGTAGGAGTCGTGGCCAGCAGGGACACAGTGACCCGTGACAGGGTCCCAAACCCAGCTCAGCTGGCTGTGAGGGCAGGGGGTGGGGGGCTCTGGGCCCACGGGGACTCTGCTCCCCAAACACTCACAGGCCTGAGATGAGATCTGTCTCTGCCCTCATGTACGGCCCCAGGTCCTGCGAGTGGGAGATGCCGCTGGCTCCATCTGCCAGGATCTGCCGGATCAGATCCTCATCTGGGAAAGAGAGAGCACAGCCAGCGTTGGCAGGAGCTCAGCACCCAGCACCACACCAGGGCATGGCTCAGCCAGCTGCTGAACTGGGGAGGAGGAGAAGTGCCACAGTGATGTCCTGCTCCCTGTCCTCCAGCTCCTGGCTATCCCAGCTCAGCCACAGTGCTGGGCAGGAAACTGCTGGTTCAGAAGGCCAAGTTCTCCTTCTCCAGCCATTTCTAGAGGCTCAGGGACACACTGTGGCTTTGAAACCAGTGAGGAAGTGCTGCTTGCTTGCAGCATTCCCATGGGAACACACCTCTCCTGGCTCTCAGTCCGCTGCCATCGTGGGACCACCCACTTCATTCTGATGCCCACCAGGATTTCTGCTTTCCCCAACTAAAATCCCCTCTAAGCAGACACAACCCTCGTCCCCTGCCCTCCAGAACGCAGCCAGAGATGGCAGCAGCTCTGCTGTGCTGCTCTGCCCTAGGCCAGGAGGGCTCACCTGAGGCTGAGAAGTATCGGGGCTGTCCCTGGTGAAGCCCAAGGGACAAAGTGTCCTCCTCGGTGGCCAGCGGGGCCTCCAGCCCCAGGTGGCGGCTGGCCCGGCCTCTCTTCAGCTTCTGGATGGTGTTGCCCATGATGGAGGGGTCACTCAGCAGGTCTGGCCAGCTGAGCAGAGCCTCGCTGGAGGGCCACGGCACCAGGCTGCAGGAAAACGGGAGCGGTCAGGAAAGAGGAAAGGAACTGTGTGGGAATGCAGAGGGAAACAGCCGTGGGAGACAAGCCCAGCCCTGCCAAGCACAGACTGGAGAGCTGCTTGCTCCATCTCCAGAAGCCCACTCACCTCTTGGAGTCCTCCAGGAACAGATCTGTTTTGGTTTGCTCAGAGAAGGCCTGCGGGGAACAGCAAAGATTCAGGAACGTGACACGGGTTGGAGCCTGGCCAAAGCAGTGCGCTGGGAGCTCCAGCAGTCACTGAGCTGCTCTGGGCCCACAGCCCCAGGAGCCTCCCCAGCTGTGGCAGGGAAGCTCTTACCTCTGCCTGGAGCCCGGGGAAGGTGGGGAAGGAGCTGTCAAGGATGGAGGAGTCCAGGTAGTTGTCAATCTCCAGGGACTGCTGGTCTGAGTGAGTCACTGTGTGGCTGATGGAGACCTGCAGGGCACCGAGGAGGGACAGAGGTGACACTGCCACTGAGACCAGGCACAGGCACACATGGCACATCCTCCACTGCCTCCTGTGACCTGTAGGGCCACCCAGGCTGTCCCAGCTGCAAGCCCCCAGGAAGCCCCCGAGTTTGAAGCTTTTGCTATGTGCTCTCAGCAGCATCAGCCACGTTTGCTGCTCATCAGTCCACCAGCAGCTGGCTGAAATACTTCATGGGGCTGTTAATTGTGCTTAACTAGTCGTTAAATCCCCAGCTAATCCCTGTCCAGCTGCCTCAGCCAGCTCAGTTTGTACTGGGGCAGACATTAGAGAGGCTCCACTGGGCAGCTCCTGGGCTCCTGCCTTGGGTGTCTGTCACACACACCGAAATCCTGAGGGAGAAAGTGCCCAAACAGCTTCTAAAATCTGTCTTTTTGGTGCCTGGGCACTGACAGAGGCCAGCAGCGATCTGGGCTCAGGGAGGGGCAGAAGGGTCTGGCCCTGGTGCAGCACAACAAGTGCAGAGCCCAGCTGGAGGAGTGAGGTCCCAGGAAAGGCAGAATTCGGCCTCCCAAAAACAAACCCGGTGGCCTCCCACCCAGCTGAGCAGCCTGCAGCCATCCCCACTCCTTACCTTGCCACGAGCCATCCTGAAGAGAAATAAAATGACCAGGTAGAGAGGGTAAACCACCACGCTGGACACCAGGCCAACAGCCACCGTGTCCACACTGACGGGGATCAGGCTGGAAACGGCCACGTTGCTGCAGGGAAGCAAAGAGGGATCAGAGACAGCAGTCAGCAGGAGCATCTGGGGCTGCCAGGCAAGCAAAAAGGAGACAAAAGTGCAGAACCAGGAATTCCAGATGTGCAGAGAAGGAAACGGGCCTGAAAACCAAATTCAGACTTTCTTTGGTCATCCATTGTCCATGTCCTGGTCTCAGACTCCTCAGAACGAGGAGGGCACACTCAAGGCACAGGCAAGGAAGCTCTTCTCAGCAGGTGAGAGCTGTGTCCTGCCCCATGGGACAGGCAGGAGGGCCCCGAGCAGGGTGGGACTGGCTGGGGACAGCCCTGAGTGGACACTGTCCACCACACCCTGAGTGGACACTGCCCACCACGCCCTGAATGGACACTGCCCACCATGCTCTGCACACACCTGAGTGGACACTGCCCACCACACCCTGCACACACCTGAGTGGACACTGCCCACCACACTCTGCACACACCTGAGTGGACACTGCCCACCACACCCTGCACACACCTGAGGTGGACACTGCCCACCACGCCGTACCACACGGCGTTGGCGCAGAGGAAGAGGAAGATGAGGAGGCAGCAGCAGGTGGCCCTCTGGACGCGGGTGAAGCGGGAGCGGGGCGGGCGGTCCCACAGGGACAGCCACACGTGCTTCTCGAAGAACCCGCGCTGCAGCTCCGCCACGAAGATCCGCCAGAAGCTCCTCAGCTCGCTCTCACCTGGGGACAAAGGGACACACTCAGGGTGGCTGCAGCACTGTGGGGACCCGGCTGAGGCGGCCACATCCGTCCCACAGACTCCAGAGTATCCACACCCCATCCACAGGGCCCCTCCTCCTGCAGTGCTCCAGGTCTGAGGATGAGCGGCTGGAAAAGCTGCCCAGCAGCAAAGGATCTGGGGATGGCAGGGGCTGAACGTGAGCCCAGCTGGGTCCAGGTGGGCAAGAGGCCAATGGCAGCACCATGGCTTGTGCCAAAACAGTGTGGCCACAGCCCCAGGCAGTGCGGGTCCCTTGTGCAGGACACTGCTGAGGAACCTCACAAGAAGAAAGACATGGAGGGGCTGGAGCATGTCCAGAGAAGGGAACAGAGCTGGGGAAGGGTCAGGAGCACTGGGAGCAGCTGAGGGAGCTGGGCAAGAGGCACAGCCTGGAGAAAAGGAGGGGCCCAGGCAGCAGGGGTGATAAGGACCCAGGGGATGTGGGGCACTCACTGGCAGCAAACACCTCCCTCTCCACCAGGCCATCGTTGTCCTCGCTCTCCACTGACAGCCAGTCGTTCACCAGGAAGAAATAGCTCTTGCTGCTCTGCAGGTCCCGCACGATGACGTGCTGCAGGTACCACGAGGGGCTCAGTCCTGAGCAGGGGGAGACCAAGGAATTATCTCATGGCACACTCACCCTGTGTGAGCCCATGAAGCTGAGGGGGCACCGTCAGTGCCACGGTTGTCATCGAGGGGAGCGTGGCACAGCCAGCTCACCCTGAGGGGACGTTTATGGTCACAGAGCACAGCACATGGCGTGTCTGGGGTGGCACCTGGCCGCTCTGCGAGGGACACTCCGTGTCTCCCCACCACATCCCCCCGATCCAGCGGTTCACCACGGGCCAGGTCCCCCTGTCCAGGCCCAGCACGTGGCCCCTCCATGTCCCACCTTTGTTGTCGTGCCAGATGCGGATGCGCCAGATGCTGCCCAGGCTGCGCTCCGTGGCGATCTGGAACACGTCCAGGCTGTTGCGGTGGAAGGCGTTGTCCCCATCCAGGTGTCTGTGGCCACTTTTGTTGTCCACCCCGTACAGGGCGATGCCCACGTGGGCCGTGGTGCCTGCAGGGAAGGAAGGGGCTCCCTCAGGGAAGCCCACCCGAGGTGCAGCTGTTCCCCAGCCCTGCCTGTCACAGCTCTATCTACAAACCCAGCCCCCAGAGAGAAGCCAAACTTTGTGCCTGCTGCTGGGAAAGATTCAGAACAAAGTGATGGATCCTGGAGGATCCATCCAAAGGGCCCACAGGGCAGGAGAGGGTCTGAAGTGAGGAATAATCTCTGCCTCTGCAACCACAGCCCAGTCAGGGGAGGCAGGATGGGGGAATTTCTCTCCTGGGTGGTTCCTTCCAGCAGCAATTGCCTGTCCCACCACAACAGCCAGTGTGGAGCAGCCTGGGCTAGTGGAAGGTGTCCCTGCCCATGTCAGGAGTTTGGAACCAGAAGGTTTTTGAGGAACCTTCCAACCCAAACCATTCTCGTGACCATCATCCCACAATGGGATGATGTGGGAAGCCCTGGACTGAAGCTGTGGCTCAGCTCTGGGCCCCGCGGGGAGCATTCAGAGCGTGACGTGCTGAGGTGGGACCTCAGGTGAACTGCAGGTGTCCCCCTGGGAACCAGGCATGGGAGCAGGCTGTGGGCTCACCTGATCCTCTGCCCCAGCCCGTTTTCACCAGGATCTCGTATTTGTACATCCCGTTCTTGCCGCAGAAGGGAATCACCCCCACGCGGTTCATGTCGATCACGTCCAGCTTGTGCACGATCAGCGCGGCCACCGAGTAGGTGACAAAGCACACGGCACACGTCAGCAGCACGATGTAGTTCAGCCCTGGGCCTGGAGCCTGCAGAAGAGAGAAGTGTTGAAAGGCAGCCCCAGGAGGATCCCGTTCCCATTCCCTGCCTCCTTCCTGGCCGTGGCCCCGCAGAGCTGCCAGGAGCTCCCTGCTCACGTCACGGGGACGTGGCGAGGAGCAGCTGGAGGCCCCTGGGAAGAGGGAGCAGCTGGCAGGTGTGACTCCCTGGGATCAAACAGTGCTGGGTGACAGCTGCCAGGAACCTTTGGCACCTCCCAAGAGGGGAACACGGTGCGAGGCATCCAGGCCAGGGACTAAAGCCATCTGCAAAGGTGTCTGCTTCCAGCCATGACTCCCAGCCAGGGGACACAGCCTCCCCCGAGCTGTGCCCATCTGCACCTCCCAAAGGCTCCCAGATGCCTGTGCTGGTGCCAGCTTGGACATGGAACCAACAGGAGCCCATGGCTTTGCTCCAGGTGCCAACAAGCTGTTCTGTGTGTGACAGCACTGCACAGCCTCTGCTTTGTTGCACTCACGGGAAAGATGAACTGGACAGAGTTTGGGGGCACAAACAGGCTGGCCCCAAAGGCTGTGAGGTGCTGGGTCAAGCACACGGCCTGGTCTGGCCTGGTCTCCTCCAGGGGGACAATTCCTTCCGTCTTCCAGCGCTTCTCCTGCTCGCTGAAGTACTGGCACAGGGACGTGTACAGCCCCAGGGTCACCTCCACTGCCGACCAGCTGAAGTGGTTGGTGATGTTCAGGTAGTATTTCTGGATGGGGTCGTCTGTTCTGGAGAAGGCAAAGAGCAAGGAGATGACTCCCCCACCTCTGAAGGGAAACCAGCCCCATTCTGGTGGAGGTGTGCCCAGGGAAGGCATCCAGCCACAGGGGCAGGGATGCACCCAAAAAGGAGGAGAAGCCCAGTGAATGAGGTGTAATTTACACCCCTTGGCTGTGCAGATACTCAGGGGCTCCCCAGACCACCTGAGCACCCCTCACATGCATCCACAGCACAGCCTGAGGCTGGCAGGGACTGCCAGGGAGGCTTCTCTTACCTGGGTGAGGTGAAGAAGGTGTAGAGCTTGTGGTCACTTCCAGCCAGGGCATCCAGGCTGATTCTCTTGGAGGCAGAGCAGTTGTGCTCGTTGGGCTCGGGCTCATGATGGAGATAGGCCATGATGAAGGGCTCGGGCTCACTGGCCAGGTAATGCTCTGTGGGGAGGGGAAGGAACAGAAAGGGCTTTAAAAACCCCTGGGAGACTCAGCCACAGGTCTGCTGCCAGCACTGGGGCTCAGGGAAGAAGGAATGCAGAGAGCTGTGGGAGATGAGGGACCAGAGGGTCCCTGAGCACTGGATACCATTGGGCCTGCCTGGAGAGGAACTGGACAATGCCTTCCAGGGCTGATGTGGCTCAGCAGAAGGGCTGGGAAAAGCAAAAGGCTTCTCAGGGCCAGAATCCACAAGCAAGGATGACACCAGGCATGGAGATTGTCCAGGACAGCCAGAATTTTGAGAATGCAGTGTGAAACCTGCTGCTGCCACCCAGCATCCCTTCCCACACTGGTTACCCCTCACACCCAGCCCTCCCCTCCCACAGGAAGGACTAACAAAGAGGTGGATTTGTCTGCCCTACCATTGAGGACTCTGTAGGTGAGCTGAAAGTGCAGTCCTGCTTCCCTGTTGTTGCTCTCCATGATCACAATCAGGTTGACAGACGCTCTTGCCTCGATGATCTCAGTGCCAGCCACGAGGTTTTCGGGCTCTGTGCTGTTTGAGACCATCACAGTGATGGCTTTTTCAGAGTCCAGGCTCCCGATGGGGATCTGCACCCCGTTGTGTGTCTGGAACTCCATGGAGGCCACCTTGGTGGACACGGTGTAGTTGCTGATGTACCCAAAAGGGAAGGGATTGGAGTCCACCTGGAACATGACTTGGATGACATCCGTCAGGTTGGAAAGGGTGGAGTTGAAGGCCTGGGGGATGGAGAACTGGCAGTTTGGTGTGTTTTCGTAGCAAAGCAAGTTAAAGGGGTCAGACCTCTTGCCTGTGGCCTTAATTTCTCCTCCCACCAGCTCGAGGGGCTCTTCGTTCAGCACCCGGGATTTCATGAGGATTCGCATCAGGCTGGAAGACAGGTTGTAGGCTTTGGGAGCCAGCAGCAAATTGTGGGAATCAGCAAGCAGCTCCTGGGGCTTGGATTCTTGTGAAACTGTATTGACAAGGTGGATTAGGTCACCTGCCAGGAGAGAAATGAAGAGGAAGTGATAAACAGCCTGGATAACTGCTACAGTCAGGAGAACACCTGACACCTTCCCAGAGAAAACAGACGAGGCTTTCCTTGCTCTCTTCTCACTGTTCCTCTGCACATGACCTTCCCCACTGGAGTGTTCATAGCACAGAGCCAAAAGCAAAGCTGTCAGCAGCTCCTGCAGCCTCTCTAATCTACCAGGTTTGGTGAGGAATACTTAATCACAACACACTTGATTCCCCTCCTGTGGAGTGAAGAGAAGCACAGCTCAGGAAACAGGGAGGGAATGGATCAAACAAACAGACATTCCTAAGCTTTTGCACTACGAAGTGCACAGCACTCAGGAAGGAGTGCAGAGGTAACATGGGGTGCAGAGAAGGTGTCTGTGCTTCCCCCTGGGTCAGCCAGGTGGGAACTTCCACACAGTGCTCCCAGATGCCCCAGTGAGGCTTGACAGCCTCCTTGGACTCTGACCAGGAAGACAAGCATCTGGAAGCCATAGCTGTTACTCACTGTTTACTAAAAAGAGAATCCCCTGGAGTATTAGTGAGTTTATTAGAAGTATTAGTGAGTTATAATAACAACTGTCAGATTTAAATGTCCACAGAGCAGCTGCCAAAGCCAGGACAACCCTGGGAAAAGTGCAGGGAGAAGAGAGGGCTGGGATGCCACACTCCAAACGGCAGATGCAATTTCCTAAAAATTTGGGCCAAAGCCCAAGTGGCAGAGGAGGGAGGCTGAAAGCTCCCCTCAGCCTGCTCCTGTCCCTGAGGCTGGTCCCCTGTCCCCAGCTGCAGGACAGAGCTCACCTGTGATGTTGAGGATGTTGTCGGCGATGCCGGTCGGTGTCACCGTGCCCTGGGTGGTCTCCCCTTGCAGAATGGTCATCATGGTCTCCAGCTTGTTCAGGGTCCTTGTCAGGCATGACTTGCACACCAGCTCCTTGCTCACCACCTGCACAGGGACCAGAGTGTGACAGAGCAGGAACAGCACAGGGAAAGCCCAGCTGGCTCTGTCCTGAGGAGACCTTGTCACTCTGAATGTGCCCCGTGCTCTGCCCAGCCCTGGGGAGAGGACAGCAGAGGCTGCCCTGCTCACACTGAGAGTGGCCAAGACTCTTCCATCTCCCTCCCACCACATTCCAGAGTGCCAGAGTACGGGCAGGCAGAGGATGCCTGGCAGAGGATGCTTCTGGGTTGGGAAGAGGAATAAAGGGAGGAAATCGTTGCCCAGAGAAGCTGTGGCTGCTCCATGCCTGGAATTGTTCAAGGCCAGGTTGGACAGGGCTTGGAGCAACCTGATCCTTCCAACCCAAGCCATCCCAGGATTCTGTGATTCCAAATTCATGTTCCCTGGGGTGCACTCCTAAGGACCAGGCACATCTCCCCTCCGGGACCACACAGAAACCAACCAGGAAGGGCTGGATGGGATCCTCCATCCACTCCACAACCTCCAATGGAAGCAGGATTTAACCCCAACTGAATCCATTTCAGTGTCCAAATCCTCCTGAAGGCTGTGGGAGGAATCCTGCCACTCAGGCACGATGGATGTCCCTCCCTCTGCTCCCAGATGTGTCCAAGAAACAGAATGTTCCAGCCATGGCCTGGAGCTTCCTGCACTCTCGAGGGCTGGATGGGAGGGACTGAGGCAACACATGGAAGCTGTTACAACCCCGTTCCTAGCCCTTATTCATCTTTTTTCTTTTAATCATCATAGGATTCAGCCCTGATTCACCATATGTTTCGGTCAAGAATCAAAACAGCATTTGCAGGTCTTGAATTCCCCCTCTGCTGCTTTATTTGTCAACTCTGAGAAGCCAGGACAGACTGTGTGAACTGCAGTCAGGAACCAGGGAGGTGGGGAAGACACTGGCTTATGGGGAGGAACCACCCAAGGGCAGCTCCTACTTAGGGAGGAGAATTGACCAAGAAGTCCAATATTCTTTTTTTTATCCCTCCAGGAGAAACTAATTCTGATTTTTCCTCTCCCTTGTAGGTAAAATCAGAAATGTACCAGCCCTGATGGACACTTGTGCAGGAAAGGAATGTGTGAGCTCCACTTGTCTCAGCCACTTGGGAAATTTTGGAGTACTGTTTTCCTAAGCTTTTCATTCCAGCCCAGAGCACAAAGTAATCCTGGAATGTCTTCTTTTCCCATGGAATAAAAATTCTATTTCTAGCCCTAAGCTCCCACAGCAAAATCAAGTCACGAGGCAGGAGGAGGTGGGAGAGACAGAAACAAACTGGTCTAGCATGGAATGGGATGTGCTGAACCCCAAACCCCCGACAGAGTGGAACAGAAGGAAGGGACTTTTGAGGTTTGCAGGCTCAGGAGGGAAGGGAGCTGGACCCTGAACCCTAAGCCACAGATCAGGACTCTGGGTGGGATGCAGTGCCTGCCCATCACAGACCTGCCTGCAGGGCCGAGGTACCTGACCACTCCCCAAGGCAAACATGAGGGAGGGTGTGAGGAGGAGCCAGAGCAGCCTGGCTGAGCACCAGAGCACGAGGGCATTACACAACTGGGCTCTCTTCCCTCCTGAATCCAGCAGGCACCAGCCCCAGCACTGGCAATGGGGGCTGCCAGGATCACGGTGCTTCCAGTGAGCAGCACAGCAGAGCAGAGAGGGGTTTCTCATCTTGTAGGGCACAGACAGGGATGGGAGGAGAATCAGACCTGGGCACTGGCCCCTGGCCCAAAGCAGCTCTACTTGTGTTACTCCTGATGGGAGCCCAGCCTGTCCTCAGAGGTCCTGTGATTCCCCCAGCAATTTATTCCAGTGTTTCTGGAGGCCCTCTGCTCTGCAGCCAAGCTGGGAGAGCCAGGCTGGAAATGAGAAGGCTCTGAGGAGACCTTAGAGCCCCTTTCCAGTGTCTCATGGGGCTCCAGGAGAGCTGGAGAGGGTCCTGTGACATGGGATGGAGGGACAGGACAATGGGGAATGGCATTAAGCTGGAAGAGGGTAGATTAGATTGGATATTGGGAAGGAATTGCTCCCTGTGAGGGTGGGGAAGCCCTGGCACAGGGTTCCAGAGAAGCTGTGGCTGCTCCTGGATCCCTGGGAGTGTCCAAGGCCAGGTAGGATGAGACTTGGAGCAGCCTGGGGTGGTGGAAAGTGTCCCTGCACATGGCAGGGCGTAGAACTGGATGAGCTTTAAGATCCTTTCCAACCCAACCCATTCCATGGTTCTCCAAATCTCCAGCCTGCTGCAGCTGCCAGCCAGGGCAGGCACCAGAGGAGCAGCACAGAGCTCCCAGGGGCCGAGCTGGCAGCACCCAGGACGTCACCACAGAAACCCTGATGGGGCAGACAGTGACATTTGTCCCCCCTGCACGTGGAGGGGGCCAGGCAGGCACAGCAAGGACTGGAGGCTCAGGGCTGGGGCCGTACCGTGCACTGTGCCAGGGCAGCTGAGATCTGCTGGATGTCATCCACCGTGTTCACCTTCAGAGAGTTCAGGGTCTCCGTGATGTTGTTGCGAGTCCAGGTCCTGAGCTCGAATTCCTGGCCAGCCTCAGGCTCCAGCAGCACGGATCGCTCGTACTGCGGGGGGAAAATAAAACAGCAAGAGTTGAGGAAGGTGGAGTGAAAATAACAGAGTGAAGAGCAGTTTGAGCTGAGCTGAGCTGAGCTGGAGTCACCTGTTCCCTGCACTCCACATCTCCTCCCTCCGCTTCTCCCCAGAGGGATCTAACGAGCTGGTTTTCCAGCAGAACTTCCTCGATTTCACTTCTGCTCTCCAAGCAATTATCTTAACAGGGACTCAGCAGCTAACTAATAACTGGAGTGCAGTCCTTATCCAGCTTAGCAGGGTGCCTGTGCTCAGGGGGATCATCCCTGCCTGGATTCCAGGTGTGCAGCAGCCTCTTCCTGGGCAGGGAAACAGGAATACAGCCCCGAATTCCTGCCCTGCCTATAGAGATCGTTGTACAAAACCAGCCCCAAAAATTCTCCTGGTGATTGCAAGGACCTCTGGAGGCCCCTCTTGGGCAGAACGAGCTGTGTTACCTCATTTAAGATGGTGATGAGGGCCAGGGAGTACTCAATGACCTGCTGAGGGTCCCCTTGTTTCACCAAGCCCTGGAGCACGGTGTCAGTCTGATTGTAGAGCCAGTGGGAGAGGCTGGGGAAGCCCTCGGGGAGGCCGATTTCCATGGAGCTGCAAGGAAAGAGGGATTTGGGTGAAGTGCAGCCTGGGCTGGAAGGGAGAGGAGGGGAGGCAGGTGGGTGACCCACAAAGGGTCATGCCCCATTTGCAGGAGAAACACCATGGAGCTGCAGCCTGGCTCCTCACTGGCCCAGCCCTGGATCTCCACGATCCCAGGAGTCTTTTCCCACTTAACAATTCCATGATTCTATGCAAGCAGTTAAACTCCTGGGAAAACATCCCCCTCAAGCAGCGATCCACGAAGCCTGGGATTCTCTGTGAGCGCTTCTGCTGAGCCTCCCCTCCCTTTCCTGCCACGGCCAGGAGGCAATTCCCTCACCCAGGAGCAGGGCAGGGACCCCCAGCCACGAGCCTGGGATGTGGGAGCTGAGGCTGAGGGCTAGCCCAGCCTGCCAGCCGCTCTTTACCTGTTCACAGCCACCACGGTGGCTCCCAGCTGGTCCTGCACCAGCACGGCCACGGACACCTGGAAGCCGCTCTCGTGGAAGCCGGGGGGCAGGAAGGCGCCGTGCTCGGCCCGGCTGCCCTTGTACACGCAGAACTCGTGGAAGTGGCCGGGGCGGTGGCGTGAGGCCAGCAGGATGTACACCAGCGGCCCCTCCGTGTCCTCCGTGTCCTGCCAGCCTGCAAGGGAACCCCAGTGGGCTCTGACACCACCCACAGACACCACCCCAAAGGAGCTGGCACTGCCCCTTCCCTCCCCTGGGCTGCCCCATCCTGCTCAGCCCTTCAGCGTGGATGGGGTTTGAAGCAGCCTGGACTAGTGTGAGGGACAAGATCTTTGAAGACCCTTCCAACCCAAACCATTCCAGGGTTCTCTGATGGCTCTCTGGACCAGCAAGGGTCTGGCAGACTGTCCCCAGAATGAGGACAGCTCAATGACTCCATCAGGCTGGATGGGTGCCTCCATTCTCTCTGAATTTTTGTGACGTTTAGGGGTTTCTCCTTGGGTGTTTGGGATCTGTTTTGGATTTAAAGGGATTATGAAAAATTCACGATCAAAATAAAAATATAAATAACTGTGCTGGGACTGGGAACAGCACTGACAAAAGCCACAGCTTCTGTACAAGCCCTGCAAAGCCTGACTTTAGACAGAGGCTCAGCCCTCCGGCAGTTCAGCATCAGGAATAATTTGGTCCAGGATAAAACCTGCACAAAGCTTTCCTTGGAGCTTCCAGGAATTATGGAGAGTTCCACAGGAGCTGGGCAAATTCACTGTGTGTTCACTTCAGTGAGTCCCAGTGAAGGTGCTGGCACTGCCACTGTGTCCTGTGTCTGTCACTTCAGCTTAAAAACAACCACTAAGAGCTGAAATTCCCACCATTCCAAAGAGGAATCGATTCCAGCACTATTCTGGATAGCTCAGAACATACCAAAGTTACAACCACATCACCCTGAACAGGTTTCTGCTGCTCCCCCAGTTTGGTGCCCAGCCCCCTGGAAGCAGCAGGATTCATCCCCTCCCAGCGTGGCTTCCCGGCACCGTGCACAAACAGCTCTAACCTCCAACACTGAGCATTTGGGGAAATCTGGTTTCCAGAGGCACTTAGTCCTTGGCCCAAGGCTACGGGACATGGGCCAGGCCACTTTTCCAAAGCTGGGCTCACTGCTGCTGCCTCTGCAGCTGGTTGGGAAGGTGGCTCTGGTGGGAACACCCAGCCCACACAGCAGAGACGGCCCCACTGCTTTGTCTTTTGATTCTTCCCACATACTGTGACTCAGTTTTGGGCACCACCTTCTTTTTCCTGCGCTGAAATACCCAGTCCCTTCCACAAGAACCGGCCTGGCCTGGATCTCACCATCCACCTAGGTGAGGTAGGAATTTTTAAACTGCCTGCCCCGTTACCAGCAGCTTGAGACCTTCACAATTCGGGCACACAAAGCTGCTCATGGTCCAAACCACTGCTGAGCCCAGCCCTGGGGTAGGAGCTTGGGGTGAAGGGAACATCTGTGTGAAGAGCAGGGAGGGCTGGCAGGTGCTCTCACCTGCACACTCAAAGTGCACCTTGGTCACCAGCGCCCGGAGGGGTCCCTCGGGGGACAGGCGGCAGGACCCCCCCACGGGGGGCTGGTTGGGCAGCAGGTCGATGGAGGCAAAGCCTTCCTCCCCCGTGGTGAGGTCTGTGATGTGCAGGGTGAAGGTGTAGCCCTCGCCATCCCTCAGGGCTCCTTGTCTCAGCACCAGGTTCATCCCCGTGTCGCCGGTGGACGTGGTCGTTTTGTCCAGGACGAGGGACTTGTTGTTAAAGCTGTGAGCTGCCCACCTCTGCAGGGATGGACGGGGCAAAGACACCAGAGGGTTGGTTTAAAGCTGAACTTATGTCCTTAAAATGTTTTCAAATTGAGTCTTTTATAAAAAGTAACAGATTTCTAGTGGGAGCGTCTGCCAAATTTGCAGTTGATAATTCAGCTTTAGTCTTGTGTGCTACAGCAACAAGAACTGGAACCTTTCCAAAATGTCTGGTGGGAATATTTCCACTGTGAGATCTACTTTAGTTTCTGGGATTACATCACCCTCCAACAGAATATTTCATAATACAGAGTACAAAACACAGGAAATAAATGAAGGACTGGTGGAGTCTCCACGGGATACCGTGTTTTATGTGCCTGGAGCTGAACGTGGCCTGGGTGGTTACTGTTAATAGCACAAACCTACAATTGTGATAACAGGAGAAACAGTGAGATAATCAGGCAGAAAATGCCAGGCAAGGACATGCTGGGAGCAACAGGACTTCCAGTTCTGAGACCTGCTTCTCTCCACAGGCTGCAGGGGAAGCTGGAATTAGAGTAAGGCACAAGAGGAGAGACTGAACCACCTCTGCTCGAACCACCAGAAAGATGGGCAAAATGCCAACCAGCGGGGAGAAAAAACACTTTACAGATCTCTTATAGGAAAAAAAATAAGTGGCTTTTTGTGTGGAAAGACCTGGCCACTCATGGCTTTGGCTTAGAAATGACCCCACAAGGGCTCAGCCAGACCCACCTGCTGCTGCCTGTGGCCAGGGATTGCTTCCCCTCCTTGTCTCTACAGAAATTTAGGTCCAGAGCTTCACTTTTCTCTCCCTTTCCACCCTGTCCCCTCTGCCTGCCCGCTTCTCCCAGAGCCCCCCAGAGGTGAAGCAAAGCTTTGTGACTTTACCCCAAGCTTGGAGTCGTTGTGACAGTTCTGGCAGGTGCCCTCCAGGTACACGTAGGAGCTCTTGCTGACCTCGTAGACTGACTGAGCCTTGCAGGAAACGCACTCCAGGGACACGATGGGGACTCCTCCCCTCTTGATGAACACCTGGGAAGGCAAGAGGTTCCATCAGAAGGTCTGACACCAAAATACACACACACCTAACGGGTAAGGATGAACAGAACACCCCAGCACCTGCTGCTGCAGGGAGGAATTGCTCTGCTCCAGCCCAGTCTGTGCTAAGAAACAGCAGGAAGGGATTCCCAAAGGATTTGGGGTCAGATTTAAGCTGCATCTCTGCTCTTACACTGCCCAGGTTTGTCACTGGTTTGCAAGAGCCATCCAACACCAAGCTGGACCGATCTAGGTCATTGTGGATTGATTTATTTACACTTTTTAACAACATAAATGACTTCTGAAAAGTCCCAGTGGTCCCTGGTGCTAATTCCCAGCAAACCCTGTTTGTGCTGCCATGTGGGGATGGAAGAACCACCTTTTCCAAGGAGCAGCACTTTGTTCCAGGCTTTCAGCTGGAATCTAACTGCACATCTCCAGACATCCACCACACCTTCCTGGCAGAGCACTCGCAGAGCTCTAGAGGCACCGGTGGCTCAGACACAACAGCAGCTGAACTCTGACTCCTGCGCTCTGTCTAAATTCCTTTAATCCCTGAGGAATCCCTGGGCTTGTCCAGCACTGGACTGAGCCCTCTGCCCTGGCATAATGAGTGTTATGAATTCAAAGACAGTAATGAAGGCATTGTTTAACATGGCAGACTCTTAAAAGGGGATAAATATTCCCCAGCCCTGCGCTGGAGCCCCATTCATCCCAGCAGAATTTGCAGATTTCCTGCGACACTGGAAGCTTTGTTTTGCGCTCCTGCATGGAAACCAGATAGTACGGAATGTCCTTGAAAGACTATCAATTTCATTTTTTTTCTTTTCATCCTGCAGCTCTGGTTTCAAACCCAGGCTGTAAGAGTTTCCACTTCCAGGCTGAGGCCACCTCCCATTGCCAACTGCACCGCGATGGACGTTCCTGACGTGAACTGTGCGGGTGCGCTCGGCCTTGGGATTCGTGGGATGTAAACAACATCCACTGAAAGAAATCCTCCCCTAAAAGAGCTGGGAAGGTGAGAAGAGAGGAACTGTTGACAGTAAAATTGAGCCCTGGCTCGTAGGAAGCCCTCTGGGTAAAATGAGGGAAGAGCCTGTGGCATGTGAACAGCTGGGACTGCTAAAGAGCAGGAAAGGAAGTTTCCTTTCTCCTATAGAAACTTCCTTGGGAAAAGGGACTAATTCTTCCCTGGCAGGGTGGGCAGGCCCTGGCACAGGGTGCCCAGAGCAGCTGGGGCTGCCCCTGGATCCCTGGCAGTATCCAGGGCTGGGTTGGATGGGGCTTGGAGCACCCTGGGATAGTGCAAGGTGTCCCTGCCCATGGCAGGGGGTGGCCCTGGATGATCTTTAAGGTCCTTCCAACCCAAGCATCCCATTCTGTGTTTTAGAGGTGGCTGTGGCAAGCAGAGAAGGTGACAGCTGTGTGTGGTACGTACGGTTTGGTTGGTGGCCTCGGGACTCATCCCTTCCTTCCTGACGGTGAGGTCGAACGTGTACTCCACATCTGCCTCTAATAGAGCTTTGGAAATTGTGACAATTCCTTCCTTGGCACTGAAATTCAGAGAGCACCCTGCAGCCGAGCTCTGCTTGCAAGGAGAAAAGAACTTTCAAACCCTCCTTGGTACGGGTGCACATCGGGTTAGTCCACAGCCAAAACATTCAGGTCCACACAGAGTCCCTGTCACAGACCTTGCTGTGCAGTGCCACCACTGGGGTGAGAAACAGGGCGTGTGTGGACAATAAAACACATTATCCTAATCTTCAGGTTAGTAAACAGTCATTGGAATACTCCTGTATTTCATCTGAGTTTCAAATTTGTAGTTTACAGCAATTAATTCTTCATTAAATACCTTATAAACATTGCCAAGCAACACAAAAAGCTCACATTAAACCAAAAGGTCCAATCCCCCCACACTTCACATTTGCTATTTTGAGACAAAGCTACAAAACATGACATTGTACAAGCAAAAGAGTTCCACATTCAATCAAAAATGCTGATTCCCATCAGGATTTGCCAGGCAGTTCTCCCTGCCCTTCCTGCAGTGCAGGGTCAGATCAGCTCATGAGGACATTGACCTGCTAGTGACCACGAGCTGCGGTCACTTGACCTCTCCAAAGTCTAACTTTGTCCCCTGATGGCACTGGAGACATTTAACTGCCAATGGGAGAGGGACAGAGCCCTGACACCAGGAGCCAGAGGCCAAGTGCCAGGGCAGCAGCAATGCCAATGCCTCCCTCCCAGAGCCAGCCCAGGGACACTGCAGCACACCTCACACCACGTTCTGTGCCACCATCCTGGGCTGGCAACTCAACCTCTGCAAGCCTCTTTCCAGAGCAGCTCTGTTAAAGATGCTCCCAAAAGCTTCCCTGACACCGTTTCACCCCGGACGTGTTTGTGGTGGAGCTGCAGCTCCCAAATGGCCACTGGGGCTGTGCAGGGCTGCTCTTACCTTGGAGGAGGATGTGCAGGACCACTCGTACAACAACGGGGTCTGTTCCCCGTCATCCAAGTTGGGGTCGTAGGATTTCTCCCCATCCAAGACCAAGTCCTGAGTGTTGGACCATACACGGTACGACCCCCCATCGATGATTGGGACCAGCTTGCTCGGGATCACAGTCACATTGGCAAAGATGCTTTTGGACAGCGGGGTGTCTCCAAAGGAGACAATAAACATGAAACAATAGTTCCCAACTTCCAGGCCGAGCTTTGGGATAACCAGCTGGGGCCTGTTCACGTTGACGTTCGGCAGCCAGATCCTGCTGGAGTCATCCAAGTTCATGCAGCTGGGTGCTCGGTAGATCTCCCACAGGTGCTCTGTCTGGTACTTGATGCACCCTCGGAGGTCAATCTGTGCCTCCAGGTAGTTCCTCTGGGATCTCTTCATAACCACCTGGGGTGGCAGGGCCAGCTCCACCTCGGGCTCCTCGCACTCCAGGACTTTGACGGTGACAGTGAGCTGGGCTATGAAGAAGCTGATGAGATTGGTGGCATTCACCTCCACCAGGTAATCCCCGGGGCTCAGGTAAGAGTAGTTGGCCACTGCAACCCTGGTGGTTTGAGTGGAAGAGCCATCCCCAAAGCTCCACAAGAACTCAACGTTCCTGCTGCTGGGCACCACCGCAGCTTCAAACAGCGCCGTCCTGTTCACAAAGGCATTGGTGGCACTGAGGGACACCTGGACTATGGGGTCCTGCACCTGGATGGTTCTGGTGATGTTGACACTTCCCAAGTCATTGAAGGCAGTGAGGTGGATCTCCAGCAGCCCTGCAGCTTCTGGAGCGTAGGAAACTCTCTCTCCTGATGCAGCAACCACAGACCTGCCTCGCTCCTGCCACAGGCAGAACTGCCAGGAGAAGGACACGCGGGAGCCGCTGCCCACACGGGCACTGAAGCTCTTCTCCGTGCCCGTGGCAATGCCCTCCTCGCAGCAGTTGAGGAGCCTGACCTCCTGGATGGGCTCCAGCACAGAGATGAGCACCTGGGCATGGGCGATGCTGATCTGGTTCTGCACGGTCACGGTCACCAGATAATCACCGCTCTTGGTGAACTCATGGGTGTACCTGGAGCTGTTGAGCACCACCGAGTAGTCCCCACTGATGCTCACCAGGAAACTCACAGAGGTACCTGACACCATCCTGATCTCAAAGGTGACCTGCTCCCCTGGCTCCACCACCTTCTTGCTGGCGACAACTTCCAGACCTTGAATCCTGTCCAGCACCGAGATGTTCCTGCTGGCCAGAGCCCAGCTGATGTCGTTGGACGCGTTCAGACGGACCGTGTACAACCCTGCCGTGGGGAACGTGACTGCCACGGACTGGCCGCTCAGTGTGCCATTTGGCACCTCCCACAGCCAGGTCACTTCAGTCCCCCTCTGCAGCTCCCCCTCAAAGACCACCGTGGAGCCTGAGGAGACGTACCTACAGTCCAGCTCTGCTGTCCCTATACTCAGCCCCTCGATGACCTCCTCCACACAGACAGAAACAGTGGCATTGGTTGAATTCAGCTTGTTTTCTGCTCCAACGACGACCTCAATCATCCCAGGGCTTTGGAAGGAGTGTATAATAAATGGTTCAGAGGTGACAGGGGAGGAGCCATCCTCCAGGTACCACACGTACGTGACGCCGGTGCCACCGGTTATGGTGGCACTTATGTTCACAGAGGCATTAACAGCAGCTGGGTTGGGGAAGGCGTAGGGCTTTAGGACACCGAGGCTTTCAATGAACTCCAGTGTCCTGTTAGCAGTGGCACAGCCCAGCATGTTGGTGGCCTTCAGGTAAACAGTGTAGTTCCCAGCTTCCAGGATGCTCAAGGGGAAGGTTTTCCCAGTGAAGGTCTGCACAGCATTGCCGTCTCGCTGGACCACCCAGCCATAGGAGATGTTTGTGCCCTCTCTCACCACGGCCTGCAAATGGAGTGTTTTGTTGGTTGGGAAATACATGTCCTCCACCAGGTCAGCGCTGGCCACCTGCAGGCCCTCAATCTGCTCCAGCACGTAGACGTAGATGCTGTCCTGCAGCGAGCTGATCTTGTTCTCGGCCGTCACGATGACGTTGAAGGTGCCCACGGAGCGGAAGGTGTAGGAAATGGTGGAGGAGCCCTGGATGGGAGTGCAGCGATCGCAGAGGATCCACGAGTAGCGGATGGCGGTGCCAGCCACCAGGGTGGCCACAAAGCTCACCGAGCCATTCAACGGCACCACCGTCCTGCTGGCATTGACCGTCAGGCCCAGGAGCCGCCGCTTCACGGTGATGTCGATGGTGGTCTCGTTGGAGCTCACATCGTTCTGCCCCATCACCGTAATGCTGTAGTGGCCTGTGCTGTTGTAGGAATGGGTGGCCGCTTGCCCAGGCTGGACAGTGCCATCCCCAAAGTCCCAGCAGTAACTCACTTTGGTTCCATTCATGCTGGCAGAGAACAGGTAGATCTGGTTCAGCTCCAGAACATCTGTCCCGTTATACTCAATCTTTGCTACCCCAACTGGCTCCTGGACCTCCACAAACGCCGTGTCGTTGTTGAAGGAGACATTGTTGGAGACGGTCACTGTGACCAGGAAGACCCCGGTGTGTTTGTAGGTGTAGGTCACCTCAGTCCCACTCGACCTGGTGGACTCGTTGTTGCCGAAGTCCCAGCGGTAGCGGTACTGGTAGGGAGGCACGGCACTCACCTGGAAGGAGGTCTCTTCCCCGAGCCTCACAAAGCGTTTGGAAGGGAGGAGGGTGACGTTGAGGATCTCTGGCTCCACACAGACACTGGTGAAATAATGAGCCTTGTTAAAGCTGCTGGAGACCGTCAGGGAGAGCAGGAATGTCCCGCTCCGGGTGAAGTTGTGCATCACCACAGGGTCCCCGCTGACCGTGACATTGGATGAGCCATCTCCAAAAGTCCAGTCAAAGATGTACTCCTCAGGATTCCCCGTCACGTAGGCGGTGAGCTGCACATCCGGGTGCTCCAGGATGCAAGAAGCAGGCTCTATTTTGAGTACCTCCAGGACAAATATCCGCACAGGAACCGCCTGGGAGACAGAGTTGACGGGATTCACAGCTGTCACGTTCACGGTGCAGTTGATGTCCTTTATGTACACGTGTTCCACCACTGGCACCTGGCTCCTCAGCACCGTCCCGTCCCCCATGTCGAATGTCCAGGTGATGCTGTCCCCGGTCTGCACGGACGCGTTGACGGTGACAGGCGCTCCCTGCTCTGCGGCCTCGTCCGCGGAAACGCGGAGCCCCGTGATCTCCTCGAACACCTGGTAGCACTCCACCGTCTCCACGCTGCTCACGGTGTTGTTGGCTGTCACGGTGACGTTGTACACCCCTCTGTGGGGGTAGCTGTAGGTGGCTGTGGGCTGGATCTCCGTGAGCAGGGAGGAGCCGTCCCCAAAGTCCCAGGTGAACACGACGCCGTACGGGGAGGGCAGGGCGGTGGCTCGGAAGGTGACTGGCCGGCCCACGACCAAAACATCCTCCTCTGCCTCCACCTTCACGTCAGTCAGGTAACTGTGGACGTGAACTGGGCTCAGGTGGGTGAGGTTCTCATACTGGTTGGACACAACAACCATCAGGGCATATTCTCCTGCATTGGGAGAGAGCAGAACAAGGGCAGGGTGAGGACACGCCTGTCACCAGCTTCTCAGTGCTGTGGTGAGGTTGTGACAGGGGCTGCAGGGACACTCTGCTCCTGTGCTGTGCACACTCAGGGCTGGCCTGCTCCAGGAATTACACCAGGTCATGTGTATGGAGACCAAACACCAAGAAAGGAGCCAGTCTAACAGGTAGAGAGAAAATATTTTCTTTCTGCTCACCCACAGAACAGTCCCTTCCTGCTGCCCACCCCTCCCACCAGCCCAGTGCTCGCCTGCCCCTCGTCCTTCTGCTGAGACTGCCCAAAAACAGGCTGAGAGTGGTGGACCTGCTTCTTACACCGCAGGCAAACTTCCCTGGGAAACAGAGTTAGAGAGGATGGCAACTGCTGGAGATTTCCAGTCACTCCAGCTGTTTGCTCAGGAATCAGGCAATGATTTCCAAGCTCTGGTTTTTTTGGAAGGTGCCTTGTACACTCCTCATACCAAAAATGTCTGAGCCCCTTCCTCCCCAAAGAACCTTGTTGAGCGTACCTGGGTCTTGGTAGATGTGTGAAACATTGTGCTCAATGACAACCTCGTGCACATTGGGATCAGGAACAAGGAAAGACTTGTTGTAGGGAGGTTTGAACAGGTATGTCTCCTGGACACCATCTCCAAAATCCCACCTGGAGAAACAGGCAAACCATGTTACACTGCACAGCAGGAGAACCACGGAAATCCCAGAGGAATCCTGGCTTGTCTTTCAGGTCAGGGCTGGGTTCTCCAAAAAAACGAGAAGCAGAATGCCAAGTATCAAAGCAGAAGCTGTGCTGAGAGGAGCACGGCACTGGTAAGAAGAGGAAGAACCCAAATTAAAGCAGTGCTGTAACACTTTAAAAGAGAAGGATTTCAGCCTGAATTACAGGTGTGTGACTGACCCCCCACTCACAGGGATTTCACATTAACTAAACAGCAGCTGAGAAACTGAGCAGACAAGGTCAGACAGGCACAGAAAGATCCTAAGTTTGGGCAAGCAGCAAAGGACTCACAGGAACAGAGCCTCCACAGCCGAGTCCACCAGAACCCTGGCGCTGAACTCCACGCTGCTGTTCTGGGGCAGCACTTGCAGGGCACCTGCCACACTCAGGTTCCTCATCCTGTTCATCATCTCCACCGTCACGTTGTAGTTGACTGTGAAGTTGCTGACGTGGTTGGAGGCGGTGAGCTGGGAAGGACAGTGGGACAAAGAATGGGTCTGGGGTCGCCTTGCTGCCCTTGGAGTGGGGCTTTGCTGGACTGCAGAAGCACCACCAGGCAGGGGAGCAGATCAGGGCAGAGAGAGTGGCCACATGTTCACCACTACAGCCAGTCCAAGGAAGGGCTGGTGCTACAGCAAGAGGACAAGGAGAGGAGCTTCTCATCCTGAGGCTCTGAACTTGCCAGCTGCCCCTTTGCCTGCTCTGACAGCAGCTCCAGCTGCTGAACACAGGCACCTGCTGCCACCAAGGGGACAAGAGCCATCCAATTTCCCCGGGAGAGTGGCAGAAAAGTGGCTTCAAGCACAGAGCAGGGATGGGAGAGGCTCACAAAACCAAGTGCAGCTCCAGGATCCCGGTGTGGTGGGCACAGAGGGAGAGCAAGGCTGGGCAGAGGAGGGAAAGGAACACAAGAGACTGAAGAGACGTGAGAGAAGTGGAGCAGAACCCTCACGTTTTTCTAGGCATGTAACACTGACAGAGCATCCTTCACCTTCTCACCTGCAGGAGAGCTGAGCTGCTGGCAGAGGGGTCCTCCAAACCCACTGGAGCAGACCTCCTACCCCAGCTCGTGTCTGGGCTTCTGTGGATGTGCTGCACTGAAGCCAGAGCCCCCCAGGCTAACGGCACCTTGGCAGCTCTGCCAGTGAAAGCAGCCCAGGCCCTCAGCACAGTGCTGCACCCAGCAAACTAGTGCTGCACCCAGCAAATTAGTGCTGCACCAAGCAAATTAGTGAGAGCATGGCCTGGGGGCTGAGCTGGGTCTGCTCAGGAGGCCAAGAGTCACCCTGAGAGCAGATCCAGCACCTTGGACCAGAGCAGACTCTGCAGGGCATGACACACAAAGATGTTCTGGCCAGAGATCAACTCCTGTTCCACAACAGACAGCTCCCTTGGCCCAGATCCTGCTCCATCCTTCAGGGACCATGGCAAACCCAGCGCTCCAGGCTGCACCAGAGAACAGCACAGAGAACACAGGAGCTTGTGGGAGAAGCTTTGTCCTGCCTATGGAAGTCTTATGATGCATCCTGCCTCTGCCAGGTTCTGAATCCAGATTTCATGCCTGCCAGAGCAGGGGCTCCCTGCTAATTCCTGCTGGGGAGGAGGGGGAAGCACAGAGACTCCATGAACAGAAAGGGGAGCTTGGAGAAAAGAGGAGGAACAGTAATATAAGAGTAGAAGAAACTATTTGCATTTGCAAGAGGTCAGTGAGAAATAGCAGACGAGCACAGTGAAAAGCTCAACTCAGCTCTGCCTTCTCTCCCTGCTGCTTTTCCTGAGGAGTTTGTGGGATGAGATGGAAACCCAGGGGTGAGATGGTGTCATGGGAATGGCCTTGGCTTACCGAAAGCTTGTACACAGCTGGGCTTTGGTAGATAACGTTGAAGACAACATTGTAAAAAGTGAAAGATGGCTTATCATCTACAGTCCATCGGAAAGTCACATCTGACCCAGCCTCCATCACAGGGATGTAGCTCTGAAAGGCACGAGAACATTTCACACTAGTGCAAGAGAAAAGCATGCCCAGCACTTCCCAGGAGATCTCCAGCTGAACTGGAGAGGGAGCAGAGCCAGACTGGGAGGCTCCCACACCTGCAGTGCCCTCAGAGCACGGCACAGAGGTGACAGATCATCTGTGGCTCTGCTGCTGATGTAGAAATGCAGACCCTGACCCCATAAATCCCCAGCAGAGCTGGGAGCAGACCCCACACTCCCTGCTCCCACAGCCCAGCACTCTGCTCGTGTGATCAGGTCCCTCTTGCTGACTAAAAAAACCTTCTGAAATCTTTGCAGGAACAGCCTGGCTTTAGCTGCACCTTTAAGCTGAGCCTCTGACCCTCATCCAGGAATGGTGCCTGACCCAGAGACTGAAGGGGCTGGACAGAGCAGGTCTCTCCTCACGCCAGCAGTGCCTCCTGAGCAGCCTGTGGCAGCAGGAAGGGTGAGAGGTGCAGGCACAGGATCTGCCAGAAGCAGCCAGAGCTTGTACAGAGCATTTGGGGCAGTTACTGAGCAGCTTCCCAGGGCTGTAGCTCTGGGCATGAGGAACTGGACAAAACAAGACTGCAAACACCAGAGAAACTCCAAGACTTGGAGGGGTCAAACCTCTCTACAGCTTCAGCCAGCTGATATAAGGATTTAGCAGAGCAAAACTAAACACCTCAAAGACTACCTGAGCAAGGCAAAAGAAGGTAAATAGCAGCCCTTCCTAACACCTCTGGTGTCTGGGGAACTGGACAGGCAGTGTTCCCTTGCAGGAGGCACTGCCTTCCCTCAGGGGTCCAGGGGACAAGCAGCTGAGCTGCCTTCCTGCAGGAGAGCACCAGTGCAGGTGCTGCATGCTGTGCCCGCAGCGGCGCGGGCGGCACGGCCTGGCAGCTGAGCAGCAAGCAGCGCTCCCCTGCCCCTCTCCCCGAGCCAACCACACCCTGACAGCTACAGCTAAACCCACGAGGCACAGCTTCAGAGCAGCGGCAGGCACTCACCACCCGTGTGTTCAGCAGCACTCTGCTCTCGGGGTCGGGGGTGGCCCTCAGCCCGCGGATGGGCTCCTCCACCTTCACCGTGACCGTGATGTTCTGGGAGCTCACCGAGTTCTCCGCAAGCAGCACGTGGGTGCTGACGCCCTCCCCGAGGCTGCCCAGCTGCACCACAGCAAACCAGGTGTCGTTGGTCTCCCTGACACACAGCGGGGCCAGGGCAGCCGGGCAGGTGGCCACGAAGGGCGCGGTGCGGTTGTCCCCCAGCCGGCTGGCGGTGGCGTTGAGCCCCGAGGAGAGCTTGAGCAGCAGCGTGGTGTGGTTGGTGGGCAGGTACACCCTGGAGCCCTGCGGGGCGGGGTGGAGGACGCGCAGGCCGGACACCCGGGAGGTCAGCTGGAAGCTGCAGGACAGGTTGGCGCTGAAGAAGCCGTTGTCCACGGCGGCTCGGACCGTGTAGTGCCCCGGCTGCTCCAGCCCCGCGTTGTGGGGGCTGAGCACTGGCACCAGCTGCTCCTCGGTGTAGCGCACCCGGAGCGAGCACACGCTGCTGTTTGTCCTGGGGGGACCCACGGAGCTGGGGGACAGCCCCTGTGCCCACTCAGACCAGTTCCTTCTGTCCAGGGAGGTGGCACCGGGGTGGCACTGGAGGAACGAGCCCGAGGCCGCGTTGTGCTGGATGCTGAAAACATCCCCAGCCCTGACAAAGATGTTTTCTTTGCTGAATGTCACCTGCAGAGACAGGAGATGGTTTTGGATTAATGCCTCACGTTAAGAGCGATCAGCACCCAACTCCTGCCTGGGAAAAATGCTGGATTTCCTGCCAGGTGGGAACCAACAGAAAAGGTGCAGATCCCAACACAGCACAGGGAGACCTTTCAGCACTGCACCCTCCTTGGCCTCTCTGAATCCAATGTGCCAGCAGAGAAATCAGCTTTGTGCTCCATCTCCACCGTGTTAATGCCACGGGAACAGCCCATGGAATCTGCACGGCCTTTTCATGGAAACACAGAATGGTTTGGGTGGGAAGGGACCTTAAAGCCCACCTTGTTCCACCCCCTGCCATGGGCAGGGACACCTTCCACTATCCCAGGCACGGAGGACTGCAGGGAGCCCATGGCCCGCGTGACACTGGGCACATCCTTTCATCCCAATGGACTTCAGTGGCTCCATCTGCCACATGGGAACACCCCAAACTCACCCAAAGCCCTCAGGAGAACACTGCCCCACCCACCCACTGGTCAGAGCAGCAAACACTGACCTGATACTGAGAAGAGGGGCCAGCTGGTACCGTGAACAGGAACTCCTTGAGGAGTTCATAGCTGGGCTGGCTGTCATTGGGCTGCAGGGACCCGGGGGCAGGGCTGCTGCCAAAGGAACTGTTGGCACACTCGGTCCCATTGCAGCAGTCGTTTTGGGATGAGCACAAATTCGTCAAAGGGCACCACTGGAAACCAGGAGGACATTCCAGCAGCGTCCAGTTCCCGTCATCCTGAGCGCTGGGGAACGGTTCTGTAGCGTTGTTTTCCTCCTGGTAGTCTGGAAGAAGTGAAAGAGAAATCAGTGATCTCCACGCTGAGCAGTAACACTGCTAGGGCACTTCTCTGCTCCAAATTCACCAGTTTTTCCCATTCTGATGATAGCTCCACTCTTAGTAAAAGCTGCAACAGCAGCACATCCTACTGCTACATAAATGTCCTGTTTTACTGGAAAAATCCACCAAGATCATTAAGCCCAAAGTTGTCTCTTTTCCAGGGAGAACGAACCAATTCGCACTCTGAAAGGATCGGTGCTCCAGCAAAAGCGAGTCCAAGTGAAAGCAAGAGCTGGCCTTGACATTGAAAACACATTAAGCAACTTTTCTGGAGTTAATGTTTCCATGTCAAAGTATCAGCTTGTCAGTGTCAAAAAAGATCCTTTTGTAACCAGCCAACCCCACGGCTACAACAAACATTCTGCTGTAGAATTAATTGTTGCCAAAACTGTGACTGTTGAGCTGTTGTCCAAGGAATAAAAGGCTTTTTAGATTATCTCATCCATCAGGAAGAAATGGGCTCGGGAAAACGTTCTTCCTTGTTAACCCATGGGGCCAGATGGACCAGAACACATTCCCGTTTGACATGTGTCTACACAAAGTAAAAAGCACAGCTCAGAAGATTAATGAGCTTCTCCACATGGTCCTCACACTCACATTCTCCTCATGCATTGAGAGAGGTTTCTCCCTCTATTATTTTCTCCAGGACAACCACTTGCCCAAGGCTATGGATCCTGCGCTTTGATCTCCTCAAAAAACAGAACCAGATTTCTGAGCCTTTAAGGGTCAGAGGGGCCACGAGGCCAGCCCCAGTTTGATGGTGTCACCTCCAACAATCCCACAGGCACTGAGGAGAAGCCTCACCTTCTCCAGGCAGCAGTCTGTACACCTGGAACCTCACTTGGACGGGCTGGTGCAGCTCCTGTGTCACAAACTCCAGGGCAGCGAGAAACCCGTCGTGCCTGAACGCCAGCTCCGGGAACTCCAGCACCTGCAGAACACGCACGGCTCTCAGCTGCCCGTGTCCCCAGGGATCCCTGGGCAGCAGCAGGATGAGCAAACAGCCCTCACCTCCTCAGCCTTCCACGAATCTGCCGGCACAGCCTCGCTCACGTTCCTCACGGCCTCGTGTGTGGCGAACTCAGCGTCTCCCTCAAAGAAGTTTTCGGCGTTTAGGAGAACTCCTGTTTGCAAAGGAAATGTTGGAACAAAGCCCGTGAGACTCAGCAGGGCTTCAGGCCGTTCCCTCCACCCTGTGAAGCTGCAGCAGGCCTTGGACCACTCAGGAGAGCAGCAGCTCCATAACCCTGCACCTTCCTTCTCCTCACAGGTGTCTTGATTTCTTTCTCATCCAGCACAAACAACATTTTCTTTTGCAACGTTCAGCAGTTCTGACTTCTAGGAACCACGTAAGTAATTCTCCCTTCCAACAACTAATGATTTGCTTGGAATTTCTGGGCACCAGGTGCACCTCCTCATCCTCCCTGTGCCCCTGGACTTCCTGGGAAATGTGGCCACGACCAGCTGTTTTCCAGCAGTGGCAAACACTGGTGGCTCTCTGGGGACTGGGCAGCTGCTGCTGCCCCTCTGACCAGGCCAGAGCCCTCTATGGCCATGGCTTCTCCTTCTTACATAAATCTTCTCCCCTGTTTCACGTCCCTTCTCTTTCTTACTTCCTACACCACTGTGGAAGATTTGGGAAGCTGCATAACTGCCTGCACAGCACATCACACCTCACCTAATCAACTTCAGAGCAAGCCAAACATCTCCTAAAACACACAGTGAAGGCAGCACCACCACCTCAGCTCCCTGCAGCAGCACAGACTGCTCAGATAAGAAGGAAAAGCCATTTCCAGTGCTTTGCCTCAGAACTTTGCTCCTCTCTCTCCTGCTCGTGGCAAGGACTGGCATAAGGCAAACTCTTCCTTTTGGGCTGAAGTTGGGTTTGGGAATATTGCTGCAAGTCACACTCATTTTGTGGTGATTCATCCTTCTTTTTCCATGGCAGTGAGGGGACACTGGCCACTCTGGGGGCCAGCAGAGCCCACCTGGTGGCTTGTACTCGCAGACGTAGCTGTGCTTGGCCATGCACAGGTCCGTGTTGCACTGGCCCGTCGGGCCCATCCGCACGCAGTGGTCAGCGTTGGAGGGATGGGGTTCTCCTGGCAGCCAGTTCTGACAGCTCTCCAGATTAAATCCTTCCCCTCTCTGCTGCGCTCCAGAGCTTGCAAAATCATTGAATCCAATCCAGACATCGAGGCTCCTGCAAGAGAAAAAAAAAAGGGAAAAGAAGGGGGAGGGGGGATTTCAGGAAATCATGAGTATTAGAAAGAGCTGGGAGAGCTGCCATCTATGGTTCTCTCTAAAAATACTAACAACAGCTCCATTGGGGTGTCATGGGCTGCATTTCATGGAGCCTTTTAATTACTGAAGGGTTTCAGTATCCACTCTACCACCAGAACCTCAGGAACAGCCCCTCCACAGCCCAGCCCAGCCCAGCCCAGCCCAGCCCAAAAGGAGGAGTTTGC